CCAGGGGACACCTCATACTCTTAATATTACCAAGTCCATCTTCTAGCGTTGTTGATTGTTCATTCTATTCCCGAGTGCAGCCCTGGTGTGGCCCTGCGTGGTATGCTGTGTCCTCTTCCCCAGGGCTTTAGTTTATGTATAAACTGCTGCCAGTCACATCAATTCAACATTGGACATCATGTGTTTACCCATTCCTATAACCCTAAGGTGGGAATTCCTCCCTCAACAATAGGGTGAAGAGAGGGTGATTAAAACACTACTTCACAGTGAAAAATCTTCTTCTACTTTACAATGAAAAATCACTTTTGAAAAATCATTTTTAAAAAGTCTCTAGTACATTCTCATTTCTTTCCAGACCCACCCTTGGATTTCTACACCTTGAAAGACATCTTTCCAACCTCTTGCCTTATCTCTAGCCTTTGGAGGACCTTTTGAAGCTATTGATTTTCATTCTTTTCCTTTCACTCAGCTTTTGGAGAGCTATGGCAGTGTACTCAGGCGAGGCCTCTTGATGAAGAAACTTCTGGCTCCTCTGTTGGCCTTCTCTGACACTGCCCCAACAGGAGAATGAGGGTTGGGACACCTTGTTACAACCTCGTGAGGTGGAAGTTTAATTCTCCCTTCAGGCTTTGCTGGCAAGGGTGGGTTCTTTTGTTTTTTGTTTTTATTTCTTTTTTCTTTTCCTGTGCTGTATGGTGGGGGTAGAGTGGTTATTTTCTAAAAACTTTCCGTTCTAGGCCGGGCGCGGTGGCTCACACCTGTAATCCCAGCACTTTGGGAGGCCAATGCGGGCAAATCACGAGGTCAGGAGATCCAGACCATCCTGGCTAACGTGGTGAAACCCCGTCTCTACTAAAAATACAAAACCTATTAGCTGGGCGTGGTGGCGGGCGCCTGTAGTCCCAGCTACTCAGGAGGCTGAGGCAGCAGAATGGTGTGAACCCGGGAGGCGGAGCTTTCAGTGAGCTGAGATCTGGCCACTGCACTCCAGTCTGGGCGACAGAGCGAGACTCCGTCTCAAAAAAAAAAAAAAAAAAAAAAAAAAAATCTTTCCCTTCTTTCTAGGCTTTCAATTTTCTAGTCATTGGCCTAAAGAAAGCTTTTATTGGGGCTTTTATTGTTTGTGCCTATTGGTGTTCCTAGTTTGCCAAATTCCCCAGAACCCAGAAATGAGGCAAAAGAACACTTGGGAACTCAATGCTTAATTGTTCCTTGGGTCACCTAGTCATTCTGCCTTCTTTTCTCCACCCTTCAGAATCTTCTTCTATTTGTTCTATATATAATGTCCATGATTTTCAGATGTACTTAGCATAAAGAATAGGGAAATATGTCTATTCCATATTTTCAGAAGCAGAAGTCACTACTGATAATCACTTGATAACCAGAGACAACTTTCCATTAAGAAAATGAAAATATTGTTATTTCTAAAATGATCAAAAGAAATGAGTTTTGAACTCTTTCACTTCAAGGGTACTGTTCTACTTAAATGGGAAATGTAAAATCAGCAATGGCATGGTTCTGTGAACTATTCATACGTTCATTTTCTCATTGGGGCATTTGGTCATCTTTATCAGTATGTTCCTTATGTTCTTATAAAGTTAAAATTTTAATATTAGGACAAAATATGTTGGTTTTTTTTTCCGGTAAACTAATATGTTTCTCTCACTTAATATTAATAATTATGTAACTCATTAATTGTCCATCTTCCCTTTCCTGCCAGCCTACTCAAACCTAAATTTTCTTACTTTCAATTTATTTGTTTATCTTATATTTTTCTAGCATTGCTACTGCTTCGTTATCTTTTTTTTTCTACAGCTCCTAGTCTTTGGTTTATTGTTCTAATATGGCTATGATGGCTTCAAAATAAACCTCATATTTATTTTGAGAATAGATAATGTAGAATCAATAGGCTTTCTGAATTTTCTTTAGGAGGAACTTACAGGAAGCAATGTGACTGAAAGGGTATTTCAGAAGACTTTTGAAGTTGTGTTCCTGGAACAAGTTCATTATATTTATTTAGATCACTTTTTTTTCTTTTGTGTGGCTATAAGAATGTGAAATAGAGCCCTCCTCAACCCATGTGTTATCATTATACATAGCAGTATGGTCATAGCTTCATCCATTCATTCATTGATTCAACAAATATTTACTGAATGCCTATTGAATCAGAATCAGGCATAAGTATCTGTTCTATCAATTACTAATGTGCTACCCTAGGAAGTTATTTCACTTCTTTAAGTTTAACTTCCCATGAGTATAATGAGAATAGAATACTTACCTAACACATTTGTAAGAATTACATAATATGCCAAATTTAACTTACCTAGCACATCGACTCATCAAAATTATGCAGAAATCAGTTTCTCTTCTTCTCCATCCCGTTTGCTGTATGTTGATAACCCCCTTTGTCCACATGTAAATTTAAAAGGTTTTCATGTAAATTTAAAAGGTTTTCAATATTTTTCAAACACCATTAAATTGAAAAAACTCTAAAATTTGTTTTCTTCAATTATTTTTGACTGATACATCTTACGGAGGAAGGTTATAATGAAATCGCATTTTGGATGTTTTAAACTATTTTAAGAAAATAGGGATTTCTCGTGAAAAATAAAGAAAACAGCTGCTGAAAAATCCTACTAATGGTAGAAGTTAGCCCATACCCCCAACATTTTACGGAGAATAATAACTCTTACAGTTTTAAAAATGCTTTCAGGCCGGGCGCCGTGGCTCATGCCTGTAATCTCAGCACTTTGGGAGGCCGAGGCGGGCGGATCACGAGGTCAGGAGATCGAGACCATCCTGGCTAACATGGTGAAACCCCATCTCTACTAAAAATATACAAAAAAATTAGCCGGGCATGGTGGCGCCTGTAGTCCCAGCTACTCGGGAGGCTGAGAAAGGAGAATGGTGTGAACCCAGGAGGCGGAGCTTGCAGTGAGCCGAGATCGCGCCACTGCACTCCAGCCTGGGCAACAGAGGGAGACTCTGTCTCAAAAAAAAAAAAAAAAAAAAAAAAAGGCTTTCAATAATACACAGCACCATCTACAGTGAACTCCTCAATCTAAGATTCCCTTTTAACTCACATTTGTATTTTCTTTCAACTTAATAATCTTTTTTTTGTTTTTTTGTTTGTTTGTTTTTCTTGTGGTTAGAAAATTAATGCATATGGGTTATAAGGGGGAAAAGAACCCAACCCATTATCTCATCACCTACAGATAACCCATTTTGCAGTATATAGTGAATCCTGTGTTTATGATACAATGAAAAATGACATAAAAATCTCCTGATAGCACGTAATATAATAAATTTCATGATTTTTATCTTATAAAATATTCATGGTGAACAAATGGCAAGATGGTAAAACATAATTTAATATAAACAACCTAGTGGGAAATGGGAGGTAGAGCAAAATGACGGGGTCCAGGTATACAAAAATGATGTTATAGTTTAATCCAACAATAGTGTTTAGAGTATCTAGAAGAATGAATAAACTGAGTACTCCTCAGTCAGTCATCTCAGCAATATTATTTTTCTTAATTGTTATTTGATGAATATTAATTAGTCTTAGAAAGCAGAATTTGAGATGAGGCCTCTGACAGTTTCTGGAGTATTTTATGTCTAATTAAGGGCTGATCCATACACCCAAAATCACTAAATGAGCTTGGGATTCTCTGGGGAGTTAAAGCACAAGATGGCTTTGTAGATCAATAGTGAGATACAGAACCTTTAGCCTTTGGATTGCAGGGTCACTTGTAAGCTAGGATGGGGGTGAGCAAAAGTCATTATTGGTCAATACCTTATAAGAGGTGAAATGAATTGCTTAGCTTTGTTCAGCTTTTATTATCATTGGGTAACTATTTGTTATCAGTTATAGAACCAGTGGGTGACCTTTTATCACTAAAGTTCACTTGCCAAACCAGGTTTGAACAGTCTTTCAAACTCTAGAAGAAAAAAAAAAAAAATCAGTGAATGTCATTATTCTGGCAGTTTTATAAATCTTCAAGACAGTCCATTCATCTATTTTTACTAAATCTAGGAAAATTGGTATAAAATTGAATATAAATAGGAATATTTTTCCTAAATTTTACAAAATTACTTCTCTTCTATAAGCCAAAGCTATTTCTTTCTGTCTTTTCCAGATAAAGACACTGTAAAGCCTTTTTCTTTGTACTGAAAATCGTGTTTGTATTGTGACAGTTGTGCAGTTTCATTGCTCTTTTTATTAACTACTCATTTCCTGGATTGTCTGTGCTGGACCTTTTTGCTCCTTTACTAAGGTAAGGCTTGTGGATTTTTCTGTGGTATATCTGAGAAATGGATGCTTTTTACTCCATATCAAAGTCAATTGGGGTTGCTGATGATTGTCTTAGTTTAAATAACTCCATATTATATACTCTCTAGGAGGTCAACAATACACTTATGGAAATAAATGGCAAAGATTGAGGGAAGAAAAATATTAAGCCCAAGTAGTTAGTAGCCCAGGGAAGAATTAGGCCTTATTTCAAATCTGGTGCACTGTGTCCAGGAATAAGGATTAGAGAAAATATCTACAATAAAACATAACCAAGCAGGAATTAGATTTCCAGTTCTCTAATTTTGAAAGAAGGAACTTAATAATCTAATAACAAAAAATAAAATCTAATAATAGTTTAATAATCAATGACTGAATATTTAGCAAGAGCATAATGCCTGGGACAGAAGTTGACAGGAAGATTGGTTACACATGGATTTAGCTTTCAAATAACATAACAGACAATTAGCAAATTGACAGCAAAGAATATTTTTGCTTTCCTTTATAATCCTAGCATATAAGAGAGTACTTTGCACAGAATGAGGGGTTATGCAACTACTGAACGTGTAAATACATAAATAAATGTATCAGTGAATGAATGAATGAACTATTATAACTTAGTTTACATATCTATTTAAACAGGCTGTTATGAAATGTTATAGACGAGAGGTTAATTGAAGTCTGAGGATCAGAGATTTGCTGGAGAATTTAAATCATAAATCTCATGAAACATCTCTACCAGAAAAAAACCCACAGAAAACTCTTTGATACATCTGGTTCTCTGCTACCTACAACTGGTATAATTTTGTCCTACAGTAAAAGTATAAAAGCATTCTATATGATCCCATTTTAATTTCTTTTTATGTGACTCCACTTTTTCTTCATCTATCCCTTACTAGTAAAATATTGATTACCCACATCCACCAGACATTCAGGATTGGAAAATAAAGGAAGTAAAATTCTGATTATTTATTCCATTAGCGGGTATCTCTGGTAGAAGTTCCAGGAGCAAAATTTAAAGTGAGTTCCTGGTATACCTGTCTAACTCAATTACTTATACTTTCCTTTTCTGTTATTACTTATAATCATTGAGATTAAGTAATGATACAGCTGAAGTGTATTTATAGAAACAGAAAGATATATATATTATATATATATTTTATAATTTAGGGTATATGTACCATATGAAAGGATAGAGACACTGTAAACAACCTTTTGATTATGTGTACGCATGTTGATATGCACTTGAACAAAATGCAGGTCTCTGGATAGAGCATAGCAGATAAGAAGTATCATAAAAACTTTTCTCAGTGTCTTTATGCAGTAGAACAAAATGTTAAAACTCCTGTGTTCAGCCCATATCAACAAAACTTTACACTATCTATGGTGAACCTGAAATTTCTCTTTGAAAGCAGTGAAATGTGAAACATGGGTGTGCTCAGAAAAAGAAAGTTACTTCATATTTTTCTCATGGGTTTTCCTGATAATAATTGCCTGTGTTTTCCCATTTACCCTCAGCTTTGTCAGAGACCCTTCAGCACTTCCATAGAGCCATCCCACTAGAGGTCACAGATCACCAAAACCCTACAGAAACAGGAAATCGAACTTCCTGAGCACACTACAAAACACAGAAACCTGTTTCCTCTACACATCTCAAATTGGCAAAGCTTGGTCTTAGCAGATTCAGTGTGGAAGCAGCTATCAAAAAGGCCACACGCATTTTGTCCCCAAATTTCACATGAGCTACCTTGCTTCAAACTACTGAGATGAAGGGGGCAAGATTATTTGTCCTGCTTTCTAGTTTATGGAGTGGGGGCATTGGCCTTAACAACAGTAAGCATTCTTGGACTATACCTGAGGATGGGAACTCTCAGAAGACTATGACCTCTGCTTCAGTTCCTCCAAATAAAATACAAAGTTTGCAAATACTGCCAACCACTTGGGTCATGTCAGCGGAGATAGCTACAGCTCCAGAGGCAAGAACTTCTGAAGAGAGTCTTCTTCAATCAACACTGCCTCCCTCAGAGACAAGTGCACCTGCTGAGGGTGTGAGAAACCAAACTCCCACATCCACAGAGAGAGCAGAAGGAGTGGTCAAGTTGCAGGATCTTACCCTCCCAACCAAAGCTAACATCGAGTTCAATCCTGGAGCAGAACCAGTGGTCCTTTCCAATTCCACACTGAAATTTCTTCAGAGCTTTGCCAGAAAGTCAAATGAACAAGCAACTTCTCTAAATGCAGTTGGAGGTGTTGGAGGCACTGGAGGCGTCGGAAATCGAGCCACACGGGAAACATACCTCAGCCGGGGTGACAGCAGTCCCAGCCAAAGAACTGACTACCAAAAATCAAGTTTCGAAACAACTAGAGGAAAGTAAGGAATCTTCTTTTCTTTTTGTTCTTTCTCTGTCTAGCAGGTCTAGAAGATTGCGAGTGAAATTTACCTCACTCCCAGAAAATTATTTCAAATTCAGGATGAAATTAGATCATATTTATAATTTCGCCATTTCAGTTAGATAGTTATTTATTGTTAGCTTACCTAATAGGGAAAAATGAACAAATAAAATGCAGCAATTTTGTTTTAACTAAAATAATCATTCACTTTTCTATTCACTTATAGAGGTGGTTTTACTTTAGAATAGTCATTGCCAAGCAAAGTAGCACCACGGTGGCTGTTAGTTTAATTCAAGGATATGTTGATTGTGTTCCCAACCATTCCCACAATATGAAAGAGAAAAATAAATAAATAAATAAAATTGGGGCATGAACAGATTTGAGAATTGGAATAGCAGTATTATAAAAAGTAACAGTTGTTAAAGATGGAACCAAGCACACCAGAGGTGCAATCCTGGCTTCAGTATGGTCTAGTTCCATGATTTTGAGCAACTGAATTGATCTCTGTGAACCTCGGTTTCTTCATACAGAAACTACAGATTTAATACAAGGAATGTCAATAAAAATAAAACTTTGCAGGGCTCTAGTTCAGATACAAATGAATGAAATGTGCTTAGGTGCGTGATCCTCACAGAATAGGTGCTCAACAACTCAAATTTTGATAGTACTGTTTTATTATTTGAGTTGTGTTGCCATCATGAATGTGATGACTCAGAAAATCTACTTTTCAGATTAATTTTAATTTTAAGTTAGAGCAATTTGAAAGGTTGAAATAAAATAAAACAAATTTAAAGGAGCATTGTTAAAGAGGGTTTTCAAAAGAAGTGATAGTCAAATCAAAATAAACAAAGAAAAAATATCTGGGTGGGTCAATATTTTATTCATTTAAGGCTCAAAGTTATCTGTATGTTTAGAATACTAGAAGTTTAGTGTTATAAAACTAAACTTACAAATAGTTTTTACATGTAATAAAACAAAGTCAAGACACCAGACATGTCTTGGGAGAAAAATGGGGTTAAACATCTTACTAATATAAAATAAAATAAAAGTTAAAAATAGAAGTTGACACACCTGCTATGTGAAAGGCATTTGGTTAAAGCTGTTGCTGATATAAAGGTGAGAAGAAGAGAGACACTGGTAAGAATACAAGCTGATTAATTTACTTATTTCTGTATTATTTATTATTCAAGTCTATTTTTCAATATATTTCAAAAGTTACAGAATTTTTTAAAATATATAAGTAAATCTGATTGTAACTAAAAAAGTATTCACATAGTGGACTTTGGAAAAATGCCAGCTTACTGTAAAACAAATAGTACAGATTACAAAATGTTCATTTTGGGACAAGTAGATTTGCCATTAAAAAACATTTAACGGACATGTATTAATCTTTCTCATTTTGGGGGACAAGAGGATTTTGTCTATTAAATAATAATCAGAAATGTCATTTATTGAGAGCTTTTTCTAAATCACTTGAGTGCATCATCTCTGTTAATCATATTTTATTAGAGGCTATAATTAAATTTTTAAAAATTAGTTACAATAAAACTCTTGGACATTCATGGGAAACGATTGTGAGCTTTTCAGAGATGCTATAGCTAATAATTTTTTTTTTTTTTTTTTTTTTTTGAGATAGAGTCTTGCTCTGTTGCCAGGTTGGAGTGCAGTGGCACAGCTTGGCTCACTGAAACCTTCGACTCCCAGGTTCAAGTGATTCTCCTGCCTCAGCCTTCTGAGTAGCTGGGACTACAGGTGGCGCACCACCACGCCAGGCTAATTTTTGTATTTTTAGTAGAGATGGGGTTTCACCATGTTGGCCAGGATGGTCTTGATCTCTTGACCTTTTGATCCACCCGCCTCAGCCTCCCAAAGTGCTGGGATTAGAGGCGTGAGCCATCGCACTCAGCCAGAAATTTTTAATAGAAAGGGAAGTATAATAAACAGAACAAAGAGACAATTCAAGTTAAAATAGCATTTAAATGTTATATACCATATAGAAAGTGGCATACAGCTCTGTCATAATTAGAACTAGTAACTAGTAGTTTGATCAATACTAGTTTTTAAATAAATACTAGTTGTTTTATCCAAGGTCCTTGCTTTCAAAGGTTGGGAACGCTTGTTTATTTGATGATTATTTATAATTTGCCCATCATGTGCCAGCACTGTCCTAGGTTTTGGGACACACAGAATTTAAAAAATAACAATAATTCCTGCCTCTAAGGAATATTCCCTATAAAAAGTAAACACTAACATACCTATCAGACTTCAAAAAATTTGAATATGCTCTAAGAGAAAACAATATTAAAGGTATAACTTGCTGAACAGAACTTTATTCTATGACTTTTCCAACAAAAGTGTTCTTAAATTCTTTCTATAGAAAAGTACCAACTCCATGTAGGGATTCTGTTGTTTGAGGTCCTGGAGAGCTTGAGGTTTTCTTTTAGTAATCCTTTCCATTACCAAGATTCCTTACTCATTAAGCCATTCAAATGACAATGGCATTAGAGAAAACCTAGGTCCTTCGCTTAAGGACCTAGGATGCAAACCCTTGATAAGGTCAAAAGAAGTCTTTCAAATTTTCATTTGATTGGCAAATAATAATAATAATAGTAGCAAACACGTACATGGCATCTGTTCCTAGTACTCTACTATTGTGAGTGAATATATTCACTCATTTAATCATTACTATAACTCCATAAAGATGAGGAAGATTCTATCATTATTTCTTTACAGAGGGATTAAGTAGCTTACCTAAGGTCATTTAGCTAACAAATCTCGGGGCAAAGATTCAAACCCAAGCTGGCTGGCTTTAGATTCATTGTTGTCAGCTCCTACATTACACTCCCTTGGCAGGTACAATCTCTTATCACAAGTGGGAGGATAAGCGTGACCAGTTCACTTCCCAGCTCGTGAGGCTTCATAGGCTATTGGTTGCCTCCAGATTACAATCTAGATTTGTCACCCAGTTAGTCACATGATGCCATCCTAGATCTGCCTCCTGCCTACCTCCCCAACCTCATCTTCCGCCACTTCCTTCCTATTCAAATAAGTAGTTCTCTGGTCCAATATATGCTGTTTGTTAAACCCACGTTTTTTCCCTGTCTGCCCCTCTGACTAACAATGGTTCTCTTTTGCCATAATTGTCTCCTTTCCCACCTAATAATAACTGCAGGAAGCCTCAGGTGAAGTTAGGTGGCCTTTCTAACTGCTCCTACAGGTCTCTTTGAATTCCCCTATTCACTGCACTTACAACACTGCATAATAATCATAATGAATTTTTAGTGTCTTTGCATACAGGGACTTATTTTCAGAGCTAGCAAAGTCTCTGGTTTATAGCAGGTACACAATCAATATTTAATCATACTGAATGTGAAATATGAGCATCAATATGTGAATATAAAGAAGAAAGCTTCCCAAGTAAATATTTGCATTTGTTTATGAAAAAAACCTGGTTGATTTAGAATAAACATATTTTTTTTTCTACCATTCTTGGAATTTTATAATAATTCTTAGTAAAAGGAGTATTTGTGTTTATTACAGGTTCTTTTCTAGATTATTCGGGATTACTCTGGCACATTTTTGTTTCATCTTGTAGCTCCTTTTTTTTTTTTTAGCATTGCAGGAACTCCTGGCTACAATAGCCCTGTGGTTTCCTGCCTGGCAGAGTGGGTATTAGTCAATGACCAAGCACTTTGAAATAGGAAGGATGGAAATAAGAAATTAGGATTAGTGTATTTATATGTTGAACAAATATTTGCTGAACACCTTACCTGTCCCCAGCACTGTGGTTGTGCTGCGAGTAAAACAATGAACAAGAACTCCTACATGTCCTGCCTTATGGAACCAACAGCCCAGTGGCAGAGGTGAGAGGAGGAATAACGGTGAATCACAAACGCTGATTCTGAATGAAGCTTAAGAAATTGTAGTATATAACAGGGGAATGGTCTACCCATTGTGAACGGGGTCAGTAAACCTTGCCTGAGAGGATAATAGGTGAAATTAGGTAACGATACAATTCAACTGCCTGCTTTTCTCACAATTCCCAACCCCTGTACCCGTGTATCTTAATTTTTACCAAATCAGTGAATGGCTAGTTCCGTAACTAGAAACCTTGGATAGATCTTTGGAATTTTTCTCTCCCCGCTGGTTTTTATCTAATCTATCAAAAAGTCCTGTTACACCTCTAATAGATCCCAAATACCTTAGCTTCTCTCCATCTTCTAGTTGCCATTATTCACCACTAGTGTTCTAACTGGTCCACTTCTTTCCACCCTTGTTTACCATAATCCATGATCCACACAAGGGTGGAATCTTTTGAACATTTAAGTCAGATTAATGCATTTCACTGGATGTAAGACTTCATTATTGTAAGTGACACATTATTTTAGGTACTAATCAGAAAGAAAAGTATGACATCATACTTGCTTACTTTGAATTTTTAGTTTTGTCTTTCAGACTTTGAGATTTTGGACACATATCACTTTTGCAAACTTAAGAAGAAAATGTAAATGAAACTGGTAAAGTATTTCTAAGGCAATAGCAACAACTGCTGTCTGACCACTTGTGACTGAAAAATGCCGTTGATTTCAAGACACATTCTTGATTTCAAAAACGTGTGTCTTAAAATCTGTGAAATTTGATCTTTCATTCATTGTCACACTTGAAGCTCACTGCACTTCCTTTCCTCCAGCCACGCTGGCTTCCCTTCTGTTTATTGAACATGTCAAGTTAATATAAATCTCAAGGGAAACTTTTTTTGTTCTTGCTGGAATGCTCTTTCTGCACCTTTTATAATGAAGGACTCTTGCACCTCCAGCTTTAATGTCACCTCCTCAAAAGGACCTTCTCTGACCCAATAACTATCCTCTCACTTGCCATTCCTTATTTTGTCACCCTTATTTTTTCTTTGTAGGAATTATTTGAAATTATTCTATTTATATAGACAACAGTGTATTTTATGTATTTCCGCAATACATCCAA